CAGGGCAACATACACAACTTGCCTCCAGCAAGCTGGCAGCAAATTCTAGCCTTTTTCAACCTTCTTAAGACTCCATTTTATGGATAGCTGGTAAAGCAGCTGTCATTACTATGTGCTCAATGAGCCTGGCTCTAAGGATTCAACAGGGGAGTTACAGGAGACAGGCTACAGGGCTGGCATAAGCAATTGACAGCTGCATCACTGAATGAAGATGGGGTGGGAATGTAGACCACAGACATAATTCTGATTTACGTGCAGAAATTATATTTTTTGAGGGGAAATTTTCCTAAGACATTCTAAATGATATTGGATAATATCTAATTAACATGCACAATATGCACATAAAATATCTGAGAGCACAAAATATTTTTTTATCTTCAGTGCCTAATACTAAACCTGACACATAGTTAGTATTCAAAAGGGTTCTATTATAAAAGCAATAAAAAGGAAAATAAATCTCTAACTATAGTTCCCATTATTCTGAAATTAAAACTTGAAATCTCCAACAAGGCCTGAATTATGCTTTGTTTTGAAATATTTCACACATAACTCAAAGGGATACTTTAAAACACAAGACTCGATTAACCTGCCCCACCCTCTGGGTAATTCAGAAAACCTTCTAGACCATGTGCATGGTACAGTCAGCCAAGCCTGGGCAGATGGAAGAAACAGATTTGTCTTAGGAAAGGTCACTTACTAGGCTCTGATCACACTTCCTACCTCCCATTTCCTGCAACTTCTTGGCCTCAGCAGTTATAGTCAAGTCAGAGTGCAAAGGATAACATCTTTAAAAGCAGTTTTATTGCAATGGTAAAAAGAATCCAGTGATTATAGTGTAGTTTACTATTAATCCGCACACCAAAAAGCCCCAAATGACCTAGGTCCAAATTCCACTTATACCACTGATAGGGCTACAAGAAATGTGAACATTTAAGTGTTAAAAACAAAACAAAACAAACAAAAAAATGACTTTCTTTCTCAGCCTCAATTTCTCATCTGCAAGATAGATTTCATACTACCAACTTCATATGCTATACTGAGGAAGTGGATTAACACAAAGTATTATCTACAGCGCTTAGCAGGTATACTTCTCTTGCTCAACTATGATTTAGTACACATGATTTATTTTATGGATAAACTAAGTAACATCAGGTACATTGCTGAGAATTGAGAATTACAAAGTATTTTGTTACATTATGTTGTGTTACATGAAATAATTTTCTTTTAAGACTGGACTTTTCACATATCCTGCCCCAGGAATCTCAATTTTGCTTCCACTCTTAAGTTACATAGTACTGAAGAAGCAATAACTGAGACTCAAAAAGGGGTGGATTAAGGAGACTATAAAACTGAAACAATAGTCTAATTAAAAGTCAGGCTCTCATCTTAATCTCCCTAATGCAAATATTGACATAAAACTTCAGAGAGCAACACTGCACAGAGAAGGGCAAAAGCACTATTCTGTCTTGTCTTTGCAGGAAGGCAGAGAAGGAAAACTTGCAAGGAAAAGAAACTAATGGTCTCAAAGGAAGGGCAACTCTAGTTAAAGCAAAAATAATGTTCTCATCTCCAATTAATCACAAGGTCAAAGCCAACTTCAGCAACTCAGCAAGACCCTATCTCTAAATAAAATATTTAAAAAGGAGCTGGGGGTGTGGCGCAGTGGTTAAGTGTCCCTTGCGTTCAATCCCTGATACCAAAAAAAAAAAAAAAAAATGAAAGGAAGGAAGGAAGGGAGGAAGGGAGGGAGGGAAAGAATATTATTGGTTAAGTAGAAATATATCCATCCAAAGGTATACTTCACCAATAAGTACATTCTTATATAATCTATATCAAAGCTGGATTGTTTTCCAGAATGAGAGTATTTGTAGAAAGTTTCCAAAGCACTCACACTCTTATTTTATTAGCGCTTTGTAGTTATACAAAGTAGTTATGTTCATCCCGACAAACTCATACATGCATGGAATTTGATTTCAGATCACGATTCCCTCTACCCTCCTGCCTCCTTTCCCTCCCTCATTCTCCTTCCTCTACCCTGCTAGACTTCCTTTCATTTGTCTATTTATTTTTGATTGGTTCTTTTTACTTATAAAGGTGAAATTCCCTATGGTATATTTATATATGCACATGATTTTTAAAAGAGTTCATTCTGCATTACCTTCACTTTTCCATCTCTCTCAATCTCCCTTTTTCTATACTACTAATCTTCCTTTATCTTTATGATATCCTATTCTTTCCAGCCCCTTTGGTTTATTTTATTCTAGCTTCTGCATATGAGAAAATATTCGACCTTTGAATTTGAGATTGGCTTATTTCACTTGGCAAGATATTCTCCATTTTCATCCATTTACCAACAAATGCCATAATTCCATTCTTCTTTATATCTAAGTAGAACTCCATTGTGTATGTGTGTATGTGTGTGTATATATATATATGTATATGTGTGTGTGTGTGTATATATATATATACACACACACACATATATATATATAATTTCTTAATCCATTCATAATTTAGCTATTGCTAATTGAAAGCAACATTTTAATGTTTAACCAAGATCATCAGAACTTGGTGTAACACTACATCATGTACAACCATAGAAGTGTAAAGTTGTGCTGCAGTTGTGTACAATTAATCAAAATACACTATGCTGTCATATATACCTAATTAAAATAAATAAATTTTTAAAAAATCATCAGAACTGAGCTTGGTAGGATGAACTCTTACGAAAAAAACAGAAAATCTCTAGATTTTCATCCCAATTTTCCACATTAACTATTTTAGAAATGTAAATATTCTAATTAAGACTGTTGTTATACCACGAGTATTCGCTAATTCAAAAAGCTATCGTTTCAATGAACAAACATCTGTTTTCCCAGTACAATAAACAAAAGTGTAAATATGAATTACTTGGGTCTACAGAATTGCTTAAAACCCAGGATTATATTAAATGAAAGATGTTACACTGAGACTAGTTTTGAAGTAGAATCCTTCTAGCTGTGTGGGATAGCACACACCTTTACTCCCAGCTACTGGGGAGGCTACAATGGAAGTACTGCCAGAGCTCACAAATTCAAGGCCAGCCTAGGTAACACAGTGAGACTCCATTTCAAAAAATAGGAAAAGAATCCTTCTATTTTAAAATGTGTTGCTTTAATATGATAAAATAATGTTTTAGAAGTTAACCTTGTCCTAAATGTGTCAGGAATGACACTCAAACTACAAATTAACTAACTACTTCAACTGGAAAAAAACCCCAAATCTTTTGTTTTTAAACTGTGGACTGAACCAGGGGTGCTTTACCACTAAACTACACCCCCAGTCCTTTTTAATTTTCTAGAAAGTCTTGTTGATAAGGGTCTCGCTAAATTGCCCAGTCTAGCCTTGAACTTGAGATACTCCTGCCTCAACAACCCCCATTACTGGGATTAGAGAGGTGTGTGCCACTGCACCTATTATTACTTTTTAAAAACCCTTTCCCTCATAACTAAAGGGTCTACATGAGCTGAGCAGCAGAAGGACCTCATAACTAAAGGGTCTACATAATCCTTTTTGTTTCATTTGATTTTTATGCTTCAGGTGACATATTGTCTCTGCTACTACTTTCCAGTGGATTTCTGTTTTGCTGAATTCATTTTGTCTGTCCTTTCACAAAAATAAATCAGGGATAAACCTGTCTCACTTTTTCTGTTAAGTGCCTTGGCCATTAGCCACAATGTAAAACCTGTTTGACTTTCTGAAATCTCTATTTAGTGTCTGGGGATTCAGCCCACTGTGGTTTAATGATTTTACGGGTGCCAGAGAACTTCTCAAGGTATTGTGAGTTGACTCTTTATATTAATTAGTTTCACATTCTGGTCTCATTTCTTTATTACTAGGAAGCTGCTTTATTACCAGGTGCTGCCTGTCAATGGTCTGCAAACCACTGTGCCTACACTGAGGACTGTGGTTTCAGAGATCTCAGTCCATGGTCAGCCAACTCCATTGCTCTGGACATAAGATGAGGCAGAATCATGGCAGAAGGACCTGGTGGAATAGAGCTGCTCAGCTCCTGGGAGCCCAGAAGCAGAGAGAACATGACAAATCTTTTCCTGCCATGGAATTGTCTCATAAAACAAGTAAAAAACACTTGATAGGTTTATGTGAGGATGCTTAAGAGTAGAATAGACCACCAGATGACTGGAAGGAAATACTGGAGAAAAGAATGGAGCGGACAGAAATAAGGATCTGTGACATAAATTCAGAGTTAACTGCTAGATTATATAATATTGCAAATATTTATTTCATTTACATTTGGCAAAAGGCAGTCAAATTCTAAATATTATTAGAGAACCACATGAAACATCATCTTAGAGAAATGTGCCAAACTTTTGCACTTTTATGTTCTGGTTCAGTTGTATTAAACTCTGAAATCTTTAAGGGCATGTAGTAATTCTGCAGTTTACAAAAGGAAAGCACTCAAATCATGAAAGTTGATTATGCCTGGAAAAAACAAAGCACTTTTTTCTTTTTGCTTATGGTGTTAAAGAGCAGAATTATCCACAAAAATAATTTCAAGTGAGTGATTGTGTATTAGCAGAATCTGAAAAGCAATAATATAACCAGAAAATACTAAATACAATGCAATGCACATATCAAGTTGTAGATCAGACCAAAAATTGGCTAATGTCAACAGCCATAATACATCAACCCAAATGGCAGAAACAATAGGGACTAGATTTTGACTTACCTGAGTAATTTGGTCACTTATTATAAATGAACCCATGTTAATTAAGACAGTTTTACTATGTTCAACTCTTCATATGTCCTAGATAAAAACTTTTTTATTATGAGATTCTTAGTTTCAGGCATTTCCTAAATGAGAATTATAGCACCAGAATAGTATCACAGCCTCCTTAATATTATAAAAAATGGACCCTATTTCCCCTCCATTCTGAAATACTTACCATACATCTTTATAAAGATGGCTGTGTGTCCTATTTAACAATAAAAATAAACAATTCTTATGAAACTTTCATAGTCTTTAATATTTTACATTAAAAGAATCAAGTCGTTCAGTTAGTGCGAGACACCAGATAAATTTGTTTTCAAGTTCTATTAAGACAACCCTTTAAGTGTTCATTCATCTTTACATCCTATTTACTAAGTCTAGTGCTTCTACACGAAAAGTGCTCAATAGGTACTGATGAAGTCAAATAATTAATTTGCAAAAAATGATCAGAATCAAGAAATCTTGAAAAAATGCTGTTCAATCACTCATTCAAGAATAATATACAATGTATAAGAACTTTTATAGAAAAAATTTTAAATACCACAAAAAAAGTACAAGTTTCCAGAGTCAAGCATGCCATGGAACAGTGAATACCGATTTTATGTTGATGGCTACCTCTAGGAAAGGAGTGAGAGAAAAAAGGGGAGGTCTACAAAAGTACTCCAAGCTGTTCTTGTAACATTCTAAAACAAATATTACAATGTTAATTTTGGCATTTTGGATGGGCATGAGTGCTTATTATTTTATTCTCTTATCTGCATATTTACAAATTAAAAAGAAAAGAAATAGCAGAATTTTGCAGAAATAATCACAATGAGTGTACTAATGCATCAGCATTTACCAGCTAATCATCAACTTTAGGAACATAATTCATTGTAAGATCAACAATCTATGAATCTTCTAATTTCAATACACTATTTTGATACTTTCTTGTTCAGATTTTTAATTGAATGGGTTTCCATTTTTTAAGTGAAAATTAAATTATAAAACAGTATTTTAAGATAAAAATTTTAATAATACCACCTATTTACTCTAATGTACAACTGAGTACAGCCTTTTTCAAGTTGTATTTAATTCCATTATTCACTATTCTCTTATCTGAAAGAAACCTAAATGACCTGGTCTGTTTGTTTGTTTAATGGTGCCGAGGATCAAATCCTGGGCCTTGAGCATGCTTAGCTACTACGGAGCTAAATTAACAGTACCAAATGACATTGTTAAATACAAAAATTTTCAAATATATTATCATTTACAAGAGGATTCTTCTTTAAAAAGAATTCTCAGGTCAAACAAGGTAGCATGTTAAGACTGGGGCATACGCAGGAAACAGAATTCCAAGTTCATTTGAACTTGGGATTCTTTTCTTGTAACATCTATACTTTCCTTTTAAGATTTGTGTGCTAGGGACAATACCTGAATTAATCTGTTCCATGTCCATTTCTGAATATTTGCCATTGCAGGTAATTCCATTTCTCAAAATGCCATAAAGAAATGAAACTTTTCATAGCACAAACACCATATTTAAAGTCCTCAAGTGTTGACTAGTATTTTTTACTTAATTATTAGTATTACTTTTTTTTAAACTTAGAAAATTCATTCAAAAGGTACTGGCAAAATCCCATAATACAACAATAAATATAATTTTAAGGGTGTCTCAATTATATTTTGCAAAAATGAAAGGAGCAAGAGGTTTTCTTGTACACAGAAAAAATGTTTAAAATTTTTTTAATCATATCCCTAAATCATTACAACTTCATTGACTGAAAAATTAAACACTAACTAGAAAATAGTACTAAGGAAGATTCTATTTTAGTTTTTTTTTCTTTAAGCCTGAAGTGGATTTTTCCATTTTTATCTACTGAAATTTGATTAAGAGAGTCCTAATCCAAATCACACCTGACAATTTATACACAGACACACGCACATTTTTAATATGTGTTTGTTTATGTATGATGTATCCCCTCAAAAGTAAACTATCAAAAAATTAGTGCAATGGATTCTAGTAAATTGAGACTTTACTTCATGTTATTTTGTAAGAGTAGCTATACATTGTTTTTTAATTTTTTTTTTTTAGTTGTAAATGGATCTTTCATTTTATTTATTTATTTATTTGCGGGCTGAGGATCGAACCCAGGGCCTCACACAGGCCAGGCAAGTGCTCTACCACTGAGCCACAACTCCAGCCCCAAAAGTAGCTATACATTTTTGAAAAAATCCTACATCTTCCTCTGAAAGATATAATCTTTAAAGAGAAGACAGATTAAAATAAAATGTATTAACAATAATCTATTCATTTGAAGAAATTTCTACTGGAAAATTGCCTTATGTTGCCTGACTGAGTCAAGGCTGTATGAAATTCCAACATCAATAACTGACTGAATTTCAACAAGGAGAGCAGAAAAGATCAGGTAAAGAAGAATTTTGTTTATTGTAGGAAATATTTTCATGGCATTTGATAGAACTCAGAAGTATTTCTATGAAATGAGTTCAGATGTATGAAACTAAGTCAGCTAGGATGATATTCTTTTTTTTAATGAAAAAGAAATCAAACAACCAAAAGATGCATTTCTAACCACAAGAATGGGAAGTTACACTCCATGTATATATAATATGTCAAAATATACTCTACTGTCATGTATATCTAAGAATATAAAAAGAAAAAAAAAGGATACACTTCACATAATAAAATTTAAAAATGGGAGCCAAGGGACAAAATGAAAAAGATACCTAAACAATGAATTTAAGAAACTCTGATTTATCCATCTGACTTGTTGCTAATGGTCCTCTTTTGTCTTTCCATTTTTGTATACTTAAAACAGGTCTGATGATAATTGAAATAGCCTTGCAAGACTTATTAAAAGTAATTGTTGAAAGAATTTAAATACTTTATAAAATACTATTAACAAAAATAATTCTTACTTTTTTCTTGCTTCATTCAGTGAAAATGCCCTTTTAAATCAGTCTGTTTCTTAACACTGTTTCAAAGTCTTACTTTGTTAGCTTTCTTCTAAAGTGATACTCTTAGTTAATCACAATATTTCTGATTAAGAGACACAATTAATACTAGAACTGTTCCACCTGGGAAAAAAAACAGATCTATAGCACAATTAGACCAGTTAAATCAAATTACGGATCATCCAATTGACATGTTTTGATAATCTAGGACTTTGCAAGTATCATTTTCAAATTATACTCTACTTCAGTGTGAGGTTTCTCATAGAAGTTGGAAAAATTTCATTTCTGTAAACACTTTCTGTGTTAGTTGTCTCTCTGAAAAGATTTTTTTATTTCCTTAAGACAGCTGCTCCAGTGAAAATCATTTCTTATCTATGTATCAGGTCCAGACCCTCCCCAAAAAACTTAGTTTTTCTGTGAAAAGACAGAAATAGCCAAGTAATATGAAAGCTTCTGTAATCAAGATATTGTCTACTTATTATAAACATGTAATCACTCCCTATGGGGAAGCACTGATGAACTAAAAACGTTCTTCAATTACTCATAGCTCGTCAGATGTGCTGTTCACCTTTGGTAATTCACATTCTTCGCTGGTTTGACAACTCTGGAGGATGTCTTTGTAGTGGTTCTTCAGATCCTCATACAAAGAAACAGTTTCTTGTGAGTGAGCCAAGGGCAACACCTTTTCATTCAATAATATCTGCACTTGAAATTCTTCCTGAGGAGTCTTGGCATTTTCACAATGGTAAAGCACAAATATTAGGTTGGAGGCATAAGGTACAATATGACCACTTCGGAACTTTCGATGAATTTGTTCCTTGTAATTATAAGCTGTTAGAGGCTCCTTGTCTTTGAAGTAGCCCATGAGAGAAAGTAGTGGAAGAAGGGTCTCTGCATGACCAAACTGAAGGACGATTGGAGAAGAAACTGGCTGAGACCTTAAAAGAGAAATTGAAGGGCAAAATATACATATTCATATCATCAAACATAATATTTACACAGTAGTAATATAACTTGCCCACCCTTTTAAAAAATATTTAATTAAACCTTTAAAAAAATATTTATTTAGTAGTACTGAAAACTGAACTCAGGAGTGGTCTACTACTAAGCTACATCCCTAGTACTTCTTATTTTTTTATTTTAAGACAGGGTGTTCCGGGCTGGGGATGTGGCTCAAGCGGTAGCGCGCTCGCCTGGCATGCGTGCAGCCCGGGTTCGATCCTCAGCACCACATACAAACAAAGATGTTGTGTCCACCCAGAACTAAAAAATAAATATTAAAAAAATTCTCTCTCTCTCTCTAAAAAAAAAAAATTAAAAAAAAAAAAAAAAGACAGGGTGTTCCTAAGTTGTGATATTTCCAGCTCAGAGTCTCCTAAGTCACTGGAATTACAAGCTTGCCACCAGTGACAAGTAGATTTTTAGAAAAATCTTTATATACATGGCTGGGCATGATAGCATGTGCCTGTAATCCCAACTACTCGAGAGGCTGCGGTTGGAGGGTAGTGGGTTCAAGGTCAGGCTTGGCAATTTAGTGAGACTCTGCAGAGAGAAGGAGAAAGAATTAACTTTATACACATCAAGCATATGGCTGAATTTTTGTGTAGCAGAGAACTGGTCTTTTTACATTGAGAGTTAAGTTCTAAGATTCAGGATTGGATTACATACACATCGCCCTTTTTATAGATAAAGGAACTTGAAATAGATGTGCATTTCAACACTTTATTGCCTTCATGTGAATGAATATGAGCAAATTGGCCCTTAGTAAATAGATTACTCCATGGAGCTCTTCTGAACAAGTTTAAAGTGTGTATTTATTTTTTTCTACATCTAGACAATAAGGACAAGTGCTAATCAGTAAATTTCTTGGTTAAGATCAAGTCTCAACAGTGAACAGTAATCCTTCAATGGTTTACAAACCCTAAGTTGGCCATTAAATTCTGAATAAAGCAAAAAAAAAAAAAGTGGCAACCAATCTATGCTAGCTAATATGATGTGTCTCTGGTTGAGAGTGGGATTTACACAATGATAAACAAACCACTTTCAACACCACGAGCAAAATTGTCATTTTTTTATTGCCTTCAAGTTTTATGATTTTGTTTTCTGGTAAAAGCCTTTTATAAGAAGCAGTGGATGACTGTTTAGCTTTCCCCAGACTTTTTGGAAAGAAACTGTTCTTAATTTTTAAGCCTATTAAAATATGATCAACTTCTTGCTACCACCCCACATATCAGGTAATAAATTTAGTGCATCTGGATTTTGAGAGGACAGAAGCAGAGTTTGGGATTTCCTGACTCCCCAACTTAAAAACAGATGAGCAGCTGGGCATGGTGACACCACATGTAATCCCAGTGGCTTGGTAGGCTCAGGCAGGAGGTTAGTAAGTTCAAAGCCAGCCTTAGCAACTTAGCAAGGCCCTAAGCAATTTGGCAAAACCCTGTCTCTAAATAAAATATAAAAAGGTTGGGGATATTATTCAGTGGTTAAACACCCCTGGGTTCAATCCCCAGGACCAAAAAACAAAACAAACGAACGAAAAAACAGATGGAGCAACTAGTCAACAAATTTTTAAAAACCTATGAAAAACATTTACAACACAATTATGTGGACAAATATTATCTATGAACAACCAATAACATCAAGAACTGCCTATCACCAGTATCTGTTGAAGAAAGAAAGCCACAGAGCATCTGAGCAAACTGAGAAGAATCCTGGTAGTCACTGGGAAGCTCTGTGGTCCAATTTGAGTCAGTAACTGAAACAGGGAAGAGTTAGCTCACATTAGTACTTCTGTGAGGCAGATGGGCTACTGGGCCTGGGCTGGAGAAAACTAATCCCTGTGAACTCTTTATTTATTTTTTTTTATTGTTGGTTGTTCAAAACATTACATAGTTCTTGATATATCATATTTCACACTTTGCTTCAAGTGGGTTATGAACTCCCATTTTTAGCCCATATCCTGTGAACTCTTTAAACACAAAGCCCACAATAAAGAGAAACTGTTTTAGTGGAATCTAGACTAATCAGAGAGAGACAACAGGGACAAAGATCAGCCCCAGATGAGTGTATGTGTGTGTGAGGGGTGGGGTGTGGGAGTAAAGCCAGAAAATTTCAGAAAGCAAGAGACTGTATTTCTGAGCAGGAAGATATGTAAGCTTAGAAAAGATAGGCTGACATGAGCCTTTTAAACATTCTGGAAAACTAAATTCACATTAAAATGAACTACAGAAAAGTAAATAATACAGAAAAACTACAGAAAAGTAAATAATAGAATAACATTCACAGAAACTAAAAGTATGCTAGAAACACATACTCAAAAAATTTATCAAGGACCAGGGATGTGGTTCAGTGGAGACTGCTAGCCTACCACTTGAGGTCCTGGGTTCTATCCCCAAGCACCACAAAAGCAAAAACAAAAAACAAAAACCACCACCACCACCAACTACAAAATTAAATAAACTCAAGCAAACAGATTTTTTAAAAATTGAAACTGCAACAGTATTTCAAAACAGACTTTTTAGACAATTATTCACTACTTAGAGGTTAATATTTTCTTTAAAAAAAAAGTATAAAATTTAAAAGCCATTCACCAATTGGAGAGTCCAAGCTTCTCTTTGTATACTTTAACTGGGTCATCTGAAGTACGTAAAATCTATATTTATTTCCAAGAAACATCCTTTTGGGTTAAAAGTCACAGAGCAGTAGCATTCAGACCTCAACTGTAATTAGTTTGAGCTGTAAAACTATTATTAAATTTTGTGTTACTTATCAGATTTAAGAACTGGGAGATATAAAAATTCATAAAAATCCAGATTTTTGGTTCCTCTTGGAAACCTGAAAGACTTGACAATACACGTCCACGTATTCCTATATGGTAACAATCAGCTGAACAGGAAAAAAATGTACCCTTTAGAGAGTGTATATATCCGATGCATTCATCATTCTTCATTGTCTATTACAGGATAAATTAATTCCTCTGTTACTTTCCTTTTAGACAAAAGTAAAAGTAATAGAAATACACTGGTGTATATTATAAGTTCTTTAACTATTAGGCAGAAATCTCAAAGCCAGGAACAACCCTAAATCCAATGCGCCATTATTGTTCTCCATAAGATTAGGACACAGGGGAGGAGAACAGCCAACTCCCCCATTTTCTCATGGAAAGAATTGACTGCAACTCCTCTTTCCACCATTGAAGAACTCCAGGGCACTTAGAACAAGATATATGACATTATATCCAAAGTATTATTATTTCAACATGTAATTTATATAAAAATGTTTTATGAACTGATATCCTTTTTCCACCAAGACTTTGTATAGACATCTCAATTCAGACCAGCCCCTTTTCAGAGGCTAATGTGTTGAACAACATAGGATAGACATAAGTATCAAATATAAATCAAATGAAGAGGAAATAGAAACAAAAAATATATAATATAAATAATATACACATATGTGAAAAATGTGTTTTGAGGAATTAAAGATCAAAAGGAAGGCTGGGGTTGTAGTTCAGTGGTAGAGTGCTTGCCTAGCATGTGTGAGACACTGGGTTCAATTCTCAGCACCACATATAAATAAATTAAGTAATTAAAGTAAATAAGTATTAAAGTAAATTAAGTAAATAAAGGTCCATTGACAACTAAAAAAATTTTTTAAAAAGAGTCAAAGGAAAGGGTTATATATAAATTATCAGAGTTCAAACACTACTAAATACATTCATGTGATAAAAGAAATTAAATCTAGGCTGCAACCTCTCTTTTATCTGCTTTGCTGTCAATCATGTTAGAACCACTTGAGGAAAAAGATGCTTTAACATGCTTATTGGGAGTTTTATGGGAAATCAAATAAGTTTATACATTAGATTCACAAAGAAAGTCATATAATCAAAATAAATTACTGTCTTGAATCTAAATTTAAATGTGTATATGTTTTTTTAAAAAATTTTAGACTATTTTCAAAAGTATGAATTTTTTATAAATGCCATAGTTATAGTCTTTTTAGATAGAGCAATTTCTATTGTAGAAACTTGTAATATTAAAAACAAAAACAAACAAACAACAACAAAAAGCCACCCAGCTGGTTGTAGTGATGCATGCCTATAATCCCAGTAGTTCAAGATGCTGAGGCAGGAAGATCACAAGTTCAAGACCAGCTGCAACTCAGCAAGATCCTATCTCAAAATAAAAAATAAAAAGGGCTGGGGATGTAGCTCAGTGATTAAGCGCCCCTAGGTTCAATTCCTGGTACCAAAAAAAAATTTAAAAAAGTTTTTTAAATGTCTGGTTAAACATGCCAATACAGTAAGACAAAGATGACTAAGATTGTAGGGTCAAAATTAAAGTCTGAAAACTAGAAAGCTATAAATTTATAAGATTTTGCTTAGAAATACAAATGTGCCTATGGGAAATAATAAGCAATTTTTATAGTTTACAACTATAAAACTATAAGCAATTTTTATAGTTTACAACTTTCTACAATAACCAAGTAAAAATAATTTTAAGTTTATGAGATTATGCAAAGTATAAAGGGGAAATGAGCAATTTCATCTGTGGTTATTTGTTAGTTTTTTGTCTTTACCTTTTTTGCTTTGAATTATCTTGCATGTAGTAGATACTCTTGCAACTTAAGAGAAAACAGGTGGCTAATGTTGTTTGTATTCATACAAAAGGACCTAGATAAAATGGCTGTACTCAAATTTCCAGGATATAATAAAGAAGAGACTTTTCAAAGATCCATTTGGTTAATTTGTTAGATGTGACAAACCCTACCATTTCATGCCAAGTCCCAGATACCACACTAATTTCTTTTATCAGAGTGTGGAGATGGGGTTTGGGGAAATGGGGAGAAAGAGCTCTGAGGTAAAAGAACTAAAAGACAAATAAAACATTCCTGGTTCTTACAGATTAGCATTTGTCCAATGTTAGGAGAACTCAGAAGG